GTTCATGCGAAAGAACATACGGAACCAAGAGCATTGCAGGATAGTGGCAACTCAGCTTTTCTCTTGCTGCTTGAAAAGATCTCTGGCACCGGGCGCTAGAGAACCTACGACATGCCTGCCGAACCCACGCAACCTTGCGGATGAGGCTGGACTGGGACAACCTACGAAAGCTGTACAACAATCCCCTCCCCAATGACAACCCCCCCAACCCCTAATAACAAATACCCCAATATAACATCATTTGATCATGGCGGGATGGGGGTTGTTGTTTACCTTTTACCTTAAAATCCCAATGAGACTGTAGCTTCGCTTTTCTTATCCAATCACCGCCTGCATATATCCTTTGTTAGGGGAGTGGATCAAGTTGGCCAAGCTCTGGGGCCTGTGAGGTCATGCCAAGGGCATTTTCCCGAAGGGCCCTGCGTCGTCACTACACCCTAGAGAGGAAAGAGCTTCCTCTTCCTGGCCACAGCCTGCTTAAAACCTCATACTACGGAAGGTGAACAACGTCTAGAATGCCCGAGTGGCCTATCCCAAACTCTGCAAGGTGTGTCTCGTCTGCAAGGCCAACGTGGGTGGAGCTTTGCACGAATTCACCGAAGCTGGCTTTTGACAGCAGAGGTGCCACGACGCACGAGGGTCCTGACATAGCATGTTGCTAGGGCCTGCGCGGCTTACAATCTGTATTGCAGTATTGCAGCGTCGCTACCGTCATCCGCATCTTTCTTTACGCGATCTGCGGATTGTGTTTTACAGCATGTGCAAATAAGTGATGCGCATGGATTTCTCGCTCTGGGACCATTCAGTCAGTCAAGCCCCACTGTGAGGCGTGGGGGGCGTGCAAAAAAACTTGTGAAACGAAGCTGCGCTGAAAAAAGCGCTAGCGCAAGCACCGCGATAATCCATGTGACCAAGGCTTGGGGTCATCAGGGTGGAGCACGTGTGGAACATATGCTTTCATCATGTCGTGTGGTTCCCTTCAGTTGTCAGACCTGCTCCCAAGAAAAACCTCACATAAGCCTACCAAGTCTGATGCCCTTGTTGTATTCTTCGCTGGCTGCTGATTCGCCCGGCAACTCAACGTGTCGAACATCTTGGCGGACGCTATGCTTTCTGCCACAATGGAATATGCCCCTACAGATATTACAAGCCAAATATTTGGGAGCTCTACATGCATCCAGTTTCCATTTCATTTTGAATTTAATCATCCGCTTGATTCTCCCGTAAGGGACTGTTGTTAGCGGGTATTGTAGTATCCGAAACCCCATGCAATACCGTAACCCTAATCCCTAAAAGCTAAACCCTAAATTAAGGGTAAGCTAAACCCTACATTAACCCTTGACCATAAACCCTAAACTGGTTAAACCTAGTAAGATATTCCTTATATAAAATACTATACCCCAAGAGGAGGATAGAAACTTACTCTATAATGGTTACCATAGTATCCCCAAATAAAATACTACTCAAATTAAGGTTGAGCTAAACCTTGCCCGCGTCAGCCTTTCTTCAACACCTGCATCAACTGCGTGGCCAGCTCAACCACACGCTCAGACTGCGGATGCGAGACCATGGCAGACTCCGCTAGTGACTGGCCTCAGTCATAAAAAGTCTCCCGGACATAGTAGAACATATTATAATACATTGCAAAAGATCAATGTACTATAGTATAATATGCTATATTCTAGTATATTATCGTCAATTACATCAAAGGCTTGAATCATAAGGTCTCATAGAGCTAGGGAAGCCTACGTGTAGCATGGGTGACCAGGCTCCATGACACGTTCGTAAGGAAACAAGCCAGATCAATTTCTGCAAGTGGGGCAGGTCTTCTTGGGAACCCTAGGTACTGCCAGTCTTCATACAGCTGACAGCACCATGCATACTCCAGCTTGGCACTACAAGGCCTCTAGCTAGAAAGTGCGAGACTAATAGGTCCGGCAGAACTGACGCAGCTGCAGACATATATGCGTGCTGCTTAGCATCGCCTACAGTCCTGGACGCTTCATGCAGACATGTATCATTAGCAATTCAGGTCTGGCACGTGAATGCGCCGGACGTCAGCAACGAGGACATGCATGGCAGGATCTGACACTCAAGGCCATGTACAATAGCGTCCGCCTTGTGGCTTGCCCATACCAGCTCACAGTATCGTTTTCAGGTCCTATAGCTTGCACCGTCCGAGACAGAACATGCTCATGAAGATGTAAAACTCAGGCAGTCAAGCAGCCATTGAGATCTGCCAGCGCCCCGACACGTTCTGACTTCCTCGGCCGATCATGCATGGATGTTTTCCGCGAACTTTGTAAAGGACACACACAGGATCCAGCCAATTTGTTGGCAACTCCCGCTTCAGCATGCAATTATACAGTCTGACTTTAGGTTCTGCTGTAGGTCATGGGCCTGGGAAGGGACCAAAAGGAGCATAAAGGCGGAGCATGTATTGCATCTCAGCCGCGAGTGGACCAGACTGATTAGAGCAGCGCAACCAAAGGCCTAGCACTGAATCAACACAAACAGTGTAGTACATTTAACCCAAGTCAAGCTCTTGTGATCTCTGGGGGGGCAGCGCATGCGCATGCTTGTCTGGTAGGGATCACACAGCAAGCAAAACTCGAAGAGAAATGGCACAGGCCACAGGTAGGATACCGGAAGTTTTGCACACTTCTGCCAGAAAGTGGCCTTTGGTTAGCTAGGAATGAAGGAATGGATCCTTGTAGTAGTCCTTCTATAACCCATTATAGTAGTATCCATTTTCTTTTCCATTCCTTCATTCCCAGTTACCCGAAGGCCAGGAAACAAAAGCACTCCAGCTTGCCTGAACACCTTCCACAAGGGGGAAGTTGGCCATGGCCTTGCAGGTTTAGGGTTTATGGAAAAGAAAATGGAACTTTCTGCATTAGAATAGGGCATCTAGCGGGGTTATATTGGTGTGTATTGGGAAAATAGGAAATAAAATGGAAACTGCTATTTAGAGCTTGGGTAATTTTCAGCCATGTGGCCGTCCTTCACATTGGGCATCCTGATATTTTTGTGTAGCCACGTATGCATTTGGGCGATTGCGCATTTGGGGCTTCCAGACAATGTCAGAAGGAGAAGTTCCTGGCTTTTTTCCCAACTCCAATTGCTACGTGGGCTAAAGTCTAAACGCCTAGTATCCCCCTTAATAAGCAAAAGAATGCTCCCCTATCTAATCTAACCCTCCTTTCTCCTTTAGACTATAGCTCACATGGGGGCTTGCCCTCTCACCGCATAGGTCTGGCCATGGTAGGTGAGCCATTGCAACCAGCCCAATAATAGCAATAGTATTCGTAATTTTTGTAGTAGTAGTAGTACTACAGTAACAACAGTAATAGTAATAGTAGTAGCAATAATAATATTGTTGGGATAATTGGGTTGAAGATTTAGCCAGCTAGGCAGCAGACATGGAACCTGCAAGGTTCCTCATGCAAAAAGCGGTTTGTTCTAAAAAGAGACTTGTTCAGGTGTCATCTTAGTTTGGAGGTGGCGATGTACAGCTTGAGTGAAGCCAACTGCAACCATGAAAAAAAGCACTGTCATCAGTCTGAGCAGTTGGGCCGATATTTCTCTCTACTCTCTGGTTCACCTCCATAACGATCTCCAGAATGTCGGCCAGCACGAAGAAGCGAACTCGACATTCCTCGCTGCCTCCCACAGCTGACAGGTTTTGGGTTTGCTTGGGCTGAAGTCCTAGAGCCCCCAAAGCTCCGGAATAACAAAGTGACAGGCCCTCAAACAGCCCCTGGCTTCCTTTACAAGCCCTGTGTCTGGCCTAAATCCCGCCTTCACTGCAAAGTCCTCCAACAACCCTGAATGGGGGCCTGTTGTCAGCGCCTGCACTGCAGCCAGACCGTGGAGTTGAACGTGTTGATCTGCAGGGAACGCCTGTGGGGTTCCCCTCTTCCTCCCAAGCCTGGGTCTCTTTTCGAGGTTTTTACGGATAAGCGTGGGAACATGGGTAGTGGGTCCTTAAAGACTGGGCTGCGGAGCTCAACAAGGCGAAGACAACATACCGCAGGGCCTTCAGCGCGCGAACGATGACCTGCCAGCGAAAGGGGGATTTGATCATTTGATTTGGCAGACTCTCTGTTCCCAGATTCCCTCAAAGCTATCCCATAGTTGATCCTCCCGTGCCGGCAACACAGCCATTTGGCCCACAGAATTCGGAGCGTTTATGCCTGGCTACTGTGAGGCCGTACGTGTCCAACGTGGCGTTTGCTCATCCACACACAAATAGCTCATAGAAGGCATGCCATTGCCGGTACGACTACTCATCAGATCATCCCCACAACCACCACTACTGTCGCCGCCTCTGCTAATACCACCTCTGTACCGTGCTCCTCTTGAAGACTTCAACACTTCCTGCCTCCACCCCGTTTTCCAACAGGATCTCCATCTGCTGAGTGCCTCCTCAGCATGAAATGCTTGGATTGCATCCAAGCCCCGTACCTCCACATGATTTGCTGCTGAGATGGCGGGATATCCGGAAAACTCGAAGCTGAAACCTGCCTACTAAGGTTGGAACGTCAAGTCTGAAAGATAGCTTACTTCCGCTGCGCTACTAGATTTGAAGCCTGACAATGGCAAGGAGCAAGCTAGATGTCAATACCATCTTCGAAAAAAAGAGCAACACACCTTACCCGTGACGAGCGGCAGTGCTGGTCACAAAGTTCTATCCAGCTTCGGTTCCGTGTCGGGAAACCATGCATGCGCGAATACTTAAGACATACACTGACAAGGAACCCCGGGCAGCTCTAGTTGGAGGAGAAGAACAAGCCGCTCCTTGCCAGCCCAGCTCGGACAGCAGGGTCAGTCCATACTCCTTTCCGTGGGCTGCGGAAACTCATGGGGTGGGTTTGTGGGTTGGGCAACTCTTTTTTTGCTGAATCACGTCATAAATGCCCCCACGAGTTTCCACCAAGCCAGTTCAAGAGCATCTACGTAGTCTACCCACCAAGCTTCCACAAAGCAAAGCAATGCTCCTGGATTTTTGGCTTAGAGATGTTGAGGTTCATCACCTGCACACAAATGTTTCTCCTGTACATCTGTATGCTGGCTGCAAACAACGGAATGGCGCAAGGCTGTGCTGCCTCCACCAACATCTGGACCACACCCAGGTCAAACAGGCTATCCTGCGCAGCTCCAGCTTTTGGAAAATTGTTGTGTAGAACCCCACTGCCACCTCTTTCCCACGAAACGGCTTGCCTACTGAAGAACGTATGCTAGCAGAGCAGCAGGGCAATAGGTTGAACAGTAACAGGCCTGGAGGTCTACCTTGTCAGATGCTGGCTGGAAACTTCTACAACAACTGATGTCTGAAAGACACTCTGTGCTAGTCTTGCCCATGAGTCCTCCACCTCAGGTAGGCGTCCTCCGGTCGCAACAATGCGGAGGACATCCAAACCACGCTCCTGCCAGAATGAAACTCCTTTCCATCTACCTGGCTACACTCCTACAATCACTATATCACTATACTCTCACAGCCTGCAAGGCTCTCTTTCATACTTGATGAGCACCACCTGCGTGGATTTGAGTGATATTAGTCAGCGCCCATAACCCTGCGGTATCTTAGTTGATGTCAGAAGCCAGAATAAGGAACCAAGGCACCTGTATCTCCGGATCGTCTGGATAGTTCTGGAGTGCACGCACCAGAAGAGGCACAGCCTCCAAACTTACCTGAGTTCAACAGGTCAGGCGAGGCGTTTCAGCCACACCTTCCTGGACCACGAATGCTTCAAGCAATGAGTAAAGTAAAGAGAGGCTTGCGCAAGTCTCGGAACCATCACAGCACAAGTTCTAGACTGCAGCACTGTCTGGCATTGGCAAGATTAAGACAAGCGATGTGGATAGTCCTCAAGCCGAAATTGCCCTGTACATTTTACCGCGCTCGGGGTTGGTGTACTGACTTGATGGCTCCATATCCGGCCTGCAGTTGCGCAAGGACCGTCTTTGCCAAAACATTTTGGAATTTGGAAAGATGCCAAGGCACTAGCCGAGCGATCGCCGCATCCTCACCTTCGCCCCCAGGGGCTGTGGACAGCCGCAGAAGGGCCTCTGAGAGAGTGAGCCAGGGAGTGTCAATCTTCTGCCCGGAGAGTCATATATATATATATAGTAATGTTATGGGCGAAGAAGTCATTTAGGATGATTTTGGGGTGGTAGGCTTTTTTTTGGGTCGGTCCGGGGCAAGGCATTCTGTAGACCAAAATGTGAGGTTGCTCCACACAAGAGTTCAATTTTGAGCCAAAATTTCAGGACGCTCTACGCGGGAGCTCAATCTGGTATCAAATGTGAGAAAGCTTCATGCAGGATCTCAATTTAGTGTCAAAGTGTGAAAACGCGTCCCGTGAGAAAGCTCAGCTCAAGCAGTTAGGATGCTCCTGCGAGAGCTCCATCAATTCGAGTGATAATTGGCATAGAGATGAGAATGAAGAATACTTGTTGTAAGAGTAATCCAAGTAATCATACAAGTAATGATAAAATCAGAATGCAGCCCCCCATTTGCAAACAACATGGACGCTTGTAAAAAAAAAACGGGAGGGGGAGGCGTGAGAAGCCAAGAAGCCGGAAAGCCAAGAAGCCAACAAGCCCAAAATCAACAGATACTCAAAACATATCCTTAAAAAACTTCCAAATACTATTGCCTGTTAATGGGGATTCATCCAAGCGCGCCAAATGCCAACCGCAAAGGAGAGAACTCTGAATCTCCGAACCTTGAGCCTCAAACCATACACCCCAACTACCTTTCTCCGGAGCCCTGTATACTCATAGCCAAAACATACCAATTGATGCAACAAAAACACTATCACATATGTGGGCTTCGCACTGAGTGGCCCAGAAATGGCCGAACCCGGATTACATGGGTGCGCATTCAACCCTACACCCCTTCGCATCTAGCCAACGTCTAAATACCAAAGCCTCCAGAGAGCCGCACATAACTAACCGCCCTCAAGTATCCCCATAAACGCTACGACGTAACTTTTCTGCCAGAATCCTGATTCGATCACGGTTCATCATTCCCACAAACCCTACGTTACTCTCCCTGGCTACAGCCGCTCCCAAAAAAGGGAGGTCCTCCTCCTCATAACCCGCCCCTATGAATGAATACCCCCAATGCAGCACCAGTATAATTATGACCGGGGGGATCTGTGATTAGGGCTACTATTAGCCTGAAGCCCCAAATAGTAATAACCAATCACAATGCTTCCATTTTCCTATCCATCCCCTTAGTACCCTAAACCCTAAACCCCAAACCCAAAGCATGGCCTGCCTGCAGCGCCATAGTCGCACGTTGCTGTGCCTCGGCGCTACGCTCGTGGCCACGAAGGACGGCGATCGCCAGCTCTACCTCTGCGCCCACTTTGACTGGAATGATGAAGTATAGGTCCCAAGAAAGGGCACATGAGGGGTATGTAGGGACATATGTGGGATTAAGGGCTTGGTGGTTACATTTGGGTTAAGGGCTTGAGGGGTCAAATTGGGGTGCAAAAGGTTTAATGGAATCAGGAGTAATGGAGCAATCCAGACATTACATGTCGTTTGGGGTATATGGGCCATTCTGGTTCTGAAAGAATGTACGTAATGTTTTTTCACATACGAATCGTAGGCATCCAGCAATGTACATCTGCATGTCAACAAAGCATTCATACCGGCCTGTATGTGGGTACTCGTTCACACGCTTTGGAGGGTAAGTTCATAGATGAAGTCATGGAGCACTGAGCTTGGACCAGTTCACACGTTCACACGTTGTTCCCTGCAATCTATCTGCTAAGCGGTGGCTATGTTAACTATTCCCGATAAATTGCAAAAGCTCTTCTTGTCAAAACGCCTTACATGGACAATGTCTAGGGTCGAAGTAATGCATGCGGAACAAGCAAGCAAGCAAGCAAGCAAGCAAGCAGATGTGTATGCGTATGCATGCTCACAAGCTGGGGTTCCAGAGGCCTCTATGACATCTTTCTGTGAGCTTTTGGCGTCTCTTCACCCTGCGGGCTTCTTGAGAACAGCATGCGGGGTTAGGGCCAACCCTTTCACTAACTCCTCTCCGCTACTAATGTCCCATTGAAAGTAGTAAAGCCCCACACTATATTTCTTAAGCCGAGCAAGTACTGCTAGCTTAAGGGAGTGGCGATAAAGGCCCAGAATAATTTAGCCCCCTGGAATCCCACAACGAAACCACAACTTGGAGCGCCGAGATGCTGCCATCGGCAGACCCGCCACCACTGCCTTTGGAGGCGGTAATATGGGTACACATGTTTCTCTCCAAAATAAGTGGGTGATCCCATGTTTGGAAATACCCAAAATCAAAGAGAAAGTAAGTGGAGGCTTTATCAGGCTTAATCTTGGGATCTGGAAGCAAAGTTACCACAATGGTGGCACATACCCACGTGGAGGGCATAACTCCACCGGAGTTACAGTCAAATGAGCATCGAAAGACAATTTAGCAGAGTTGCAACTGCACTGCGCTGCACTTCTGGAAGGGGCGCCGGGCTCTGCACTAGCAACAACAAACAGCTGCCATACTATGCCCCACGCTATGACGGTCACTTTGGTTCAAGATACATCTGTTGAACCTTGTTTTACTGAACGCCCGCAGTCAGCAGCAGAGAGGAAACAATTCTGAATGCCAGCCCTTCTCTTTTTGCAAACCTCCGGTAGGGGAGGTCTGAGGCAATTCATAGCTACCAGAGTATGATAATTATATGAACAGATCACCCTTGTGCTTGCGTAGCCTAATCATCTCAATTCCTATAAGTATGACCGTATAATCCAGATAATCGTGTAATCAAGCAGGTGACCATCGTAGCAGCGTCTGAGAAAAGCGAGGTAAGAGATATTAATGACATGCCAGTTGAACAACACTCCAAAGAACGTATCAAAACAACAGTGGCAGAAAGCGATAGAAGCAAACCAAGGAGGCAGTAGAACCACTCTGCACGGACAGGGAAGCCAATTATTCGTGCAATTTAATATGAAGCCGTTGTGAATGGGCTCTTCAATGCGTGAGTTTTTGCCACCCAGCGTTGCGAGCCAGATGTATAACTAGGCATACCTTCAACTGACCCTGCTGGTTACCTACGGGACGTGTGAACCCCTAAACCTGTAGAAGCCTCGCGATCGCGGCCCCGGCCCACGGAGGCCATCAGCGCTAAGCGTCGCCATGCTGTGCCTGTGCTGAGAGGAGGGCCGGTTTGCAGCTAGCAGCAAGGCTGCATAAGTTTGAGTTTCGGATTTCGGCGGTTTGCGGTTCGAAGGGCTTAGGCTTGGGGATTGAGTTTTTTTGTGCTTGAACAGGCCAACAAGTGGTGTTGAAGATTGCTCCCTCTAGTTTGCTTGGGAGATTGCTCCTTGGTTTACCCTTGTTCAATAGCAACCATCCCGTCAACACCCCCTCTCACCCTGCAAGACTGACCTACCGAACATGGGGACACAAATCCTGGACGAAGTTGTACCAGCAATAGCCCAAACAATTGCAGACTACATAATTTCTGAGAACAACGTATGAACAACTTCTGATGGTGCTTTCACTCAGACATAGGCACTAGAACGGTGCTTATGAAGAGATGGTCCTGCCCGGTGTTTACTTGAACTGGTTGTCTGTAATCTAGGACGTAGGTCAGAGTTGATGCACCAGAAATCCTTCGCAACCTCAGCTTCCTTGTCTATGTTCAGCCCGTATGGCCAACGCTACCTTCCACCGATTTCCCTGTGTCAAAGATGCATCCAGAGAACAGCCAGTGATCTGGATGCGTGTCTCATATGGCAAAGCCCGCATCGCCTCGAACATGCTGCTTTCAGTTTTATTGTTTTTCGGAGGGGGAGGGGGTGCCGTTGCAATTGAGCTCAAGGTTTGTTGGTCAGGGTTCCAGGAAGGACGAACCCCCCGAGTTCCAAGGTGTTGGAAGTGAGTCAAAATCTGCGCGACATATAAAGCGCAGTGCGTTGTTAGGCAGGGGTGCCCTGCAGAAGTTTGCATGTCAGGCAAAGGTGGCAAACCAAATTTCCGCCCACTTATGTCAAGCTGCTTGTCCCACCTACATGGCACCATGCTGCACCGGCGATTTCTTTCCGAGGCTACAGGTGTATGGAATGTTTTCCGCACGGGAGGGAAAGCACTGTGACTTGAAGTGATCGGCTCCTGACCATGCACGCGGGCTTCTCCCTTGAGTGCTCCCTCCCAATGACTGTGCGCAGAATGCCCAGACTCCCGTCAATCCAAAATCAAGGCCCCAATATTCACGAAGGCATGACCAGCTTTACTTGCTCAAGCATCCGGTCTTACCGAGTCACAGAAGGGCCTAAACAGCAATTGCAAACGTCTTGCTTTTGACGTACACCCGTCCATAATAACAACGGGGAATCTGGTAGCACCATATGGGCCATGGTCTAAACTCCTAGTATACCCCTTAATAGCCCCTACAGTAGTCCCCTATATAACTCCCCTTAGACCAGTTTAGATTATAGCTCATATTGGTAACTATCTAGGCAGTACATGATTGTCGGGCAGGAAAACTCTGACCCTAAACCCTAAACCCTAAACCCCAAGGCCTCCAGGAGAAACCCAGGGCGGCTGACATTCTGAGCCCTGAGCCAGCAGCTCTCCTCTGCCTCGAGTTGACTTCAACATCTTGCGGTTTCTTTTGAAGTTGTATAAGGATACTGGAAAAGAAACTACTATAGTATATACAGGTTATATAGGGATAATGGAAAAGAAAACGGAAACTACTATAGTATATAGAGGTTATATAAGGATGCTGGAAAAGAAAACGGAAACGACTATAGTATATAGAGGTTATATAGGGATAATGAAAACGAAAATGGAAGCTACTATAGTATATAGGGGTTCCGGTCCCCTGGCCCGCGATGGGCAACGGGACTGGCTATGCAAAAGCTGAAGGCAGGTTGGGCGTTGAATCCTTGCTCAGGCCCTTTGCCGATATTGAAGTTTCTGACTTCCACATGTCGACCTCCGTACTACTGGCGAGCATTGCAGCAAGACTTTGGTATTACGATGTGCTACAGGATTACTTTAAAAGTGGCAGAATGTTGCGCCTGCACCTTCCAAACGAATCCAAACGGTAGGATTACTTTGGATTCCGTATACTCTCGGCAACGGAGCAAGAAGCACGCCCTACACCATCCATCTGACAGATTCATCAGCGTGCCTCTCCAGGTACTGGGAGGTCTAAAAGGAGCTCGTCGGGAGCATGCTCAGTCTCTCCGAACTCCTCATGTGTGCGGGGCACTTGGGGAGTATGGCGGGCTGGTCCCATTCAAAGATACTTAAGACCTGACATGATGCATACCCCATTGACGCGCAAAGCAATCAGGACTTGCTCCATGGCTGTCTGCACTGTTAACTACTTAGCGAGGAATCGGAAAGGAAACATAAGTTTCTCTTCCACCCCTGGCTTTCAAGCCAACAGTGGAAACAGGAATGCCCTTTGGATGATGTTGCTGGGTTCGCGTTTCTCCGATCCGATCTTGGTAACCAAGACTCCTTCTCCTCTGCCTCAGCTGACAGCATCTGAAGGATGGCTCAGGCCCGCGCTCTCTGAAAGGGCGAATTAAGTCTTACCGACTTGTTCCACAGTCTCAACAGTTCTGGCTGAATAAAGCTGCTTTGAGCTCTCTGGATTCGGGCACGTCCAGTGAGTGTTCCGTATTAGTAAGGCAAACCCCTCAATGCTCACCATCAATAGCTACTAACGGGTACCACCAAAAATCTGTGAACTTCGCGCAGTCTGACAAGCTTACGGCCAAATGCTGCCATTGGGCACACCGGAGCACTTGCACAGCCCCTACACTCCAGGCTGTGCAATCGGGGCTGCTCCAGGACTTGTGCAACAAAAGAAGGGATTGGGGTCCTCCCCCACCGATGCAAGCGGGCACGCTCTTCCCACAAACAGCTTCATGGAAGATTTTTCCGCGAATGTGAGGACATCTTGCTGAACAGGGACCTCCGCTGCGGCCAAGTGATCCTGGAAACGCGAGGGTGCAGCGCATCTATCAATAGATATGGCCCGCCGCTTAAGTTGGGAATGAAAGGCCCAAGGTCTAGCGAGGAGGGTGTATCGAGGAAATCACTGGAGAGGAGCCTGTCAGTTGTAGTTAGTTTATTTTGACACGGGCATTTCACAAACCATGCCGCTGCAAGTTCACAAAGCTGATCGTGCGAGTCAACAGGGCAAAGCGTGCCTTTTGAGATCAATGCACTCTTTATGTGACCAGCTTCATCAGTTCTAGTCAGTGCTAGTGATTTGCACCGGAGCATTCTGAGCCCAAGGTACAGGAGGGCCGCTACGCCTCTGGGACTCTATACAATCCGCTCCGCAGTTAGTCACCTTCAGCTTTGGATGTAGCAGTATCACATCCCTCGGGGGCATTGTCTTCACCTCCCTTGTGCGAAAGAATCAACAGAAGGCAGCCCAGCGCTAGCATGAGGAGGTAGGCGCCACTGCTCAGCAGGGTCCCGACCGTCCCATGCTGCTTGGCAACAAACATTCCTGGGGTGGCGAGCATGGCGCCGCCCAACACAGGCCCTGCGGAGAAGAAGGCACCGGCAGCTCCAGCAATGTCCGGCATCTCTTGGGGAAACTCTGTGCCGAGAGCAATGACAACGTGCACAGGCCAAGCCGACAAGAAAATATATGCGAAGATGTACAGCGACAAGCTTTGTGAAGCGAACAGGGCAATCATGACGTGCACCAGGCCACTCAATGCCAGAAGCGGGCACATGGCAGAGTACATCTGACGAGGGTTCCACCCCAGTGCAGCGCCAACCGCTGCTGACACAATTGCTGGCAGCCCAAGACACGACATGATCAGGGCACACTGCAGAAGAGGTAGGCCATAAACATCTTGTAGATTCACAGCGTGGATAGTGCCCGTGAACAGCAGCATCCCGATCAACACGCTCTGCGTTAGCAGCATCAGCACCCTCCGCCGATTGCCCAGCGCTCGCTTCGCCGCCATGAGTATGGGCTGCCCAGCATTCTCTGGCACCGTCTCCTCAAGCAGCTGCAGCGTAAAGGCAAAAGAGAGGACAATGATGGGAATCATCACAAAGAAGGAGAATCGCCAGCCCATCCAGCTAGCTAGAAGCGCTCCGATGCCAGGCGCCAGGATGGGAGCAAAGACTGAAATTGCGGCGATGATGGAAATTATTCCTGCTCTCTCTGTCTCATCATCATAGCAATCACGAAGCATAGCCAAGAACACGGCACCGAGGGCATTGGAGACACCCTGAAGTACTCGGCCCAGCACAAACCAAGGGTAACTTGGAGCGGAGCCTGCGCAAAGCGTGCTCACAATGAGGAGCAGCTGTCCGCCGAGAATCACCGGTCTGCGTCCGATTCGGTCCGATAGTGGTGCAAACAACAATGTAAACAAGCCGCTAGCAGCCTGGTGAAATTGCAGAGTGGCACCAATGCTGGTTTCTGGCACTTGGAATTCTGCTGCAATCTCTGGAATGCTGGGCAAGAACTGGTCCGTGAGGAACCACTCCGCTGCGAAAGTCAGCGTTGTCCAGAAGAGCTCTGAGCGAGACAGCTTTCGCGGGGGCCGCTTTGCGTGCTTGATTCGGAGTCCGAAGAGCCCCTCGTAGGAGATGAACAGTGGAATTGTCACGGCAGCCAAGACGGCAGCAACTTGCGCAAGGTGCTGTGTAAAGAGGCTTGGATGGAAAGGCACAGCCAACGATGCCAACCCATCTCGCTGTAAAGTGTTTGCAATCAGGTCATGGGAGCTCTGCAGAAACAGGACATGGATCTCTTCGGTAACGTGGAAGTCGGTTGCGAACATGGCTCTGGGTTGTAGATCCCTGAGCCAACCAAGGGCTTGGACCGAGATGAAAGAGTGAACGACAAGAAAGGTGCAAGCCTGTTGCATTAATTTGCAGGAGCACGCACATCATAGTCAACACCACACAATGCACGTGATCTATCCTCAAAACTGGAGCATGCAAGGATGGAACGCCCAGTCCTTCAGAGTGGACAGCAGCGATTGCCAAAGTGCCGATCCCCCATGGGAAAAAGCAGCTTTAACCTGCACAGGCTTGCATGGTCTTATTATTGCGCTGGATATTCGATGAGTTTGAAGGGAATTCGTAGCATTAGGGCATTGCACGCTTTGACCAATCTCGTGGTCAAACACCGGCCTTCTCGAATGAGTTGGCGAGGTAGCAGAGCAGCAGGCAGGCCCGCTCGCGCGTCTCAAGCGGAAAGGAGGCTCCGTCCAAGCACAAGAAGAGCCTCAACTCCGCATTTCATCCGAACATAGGATCTGCAAGCGGCCTAGCTTACTGTGCTGCGCACCGTCTGAAACTTTCATTTCATTCTGCTCGACCCCAGCGCTCAGATCCAAATTTCCCGTCCCCTTCATGCGGGCCCAAGTGAAGAGGAGGCGCAGGTTAAGGATTTCGTCGTCAAGGAAGCTCTGCAAGCTTGCCTGCTTTGGAGGTTTAAGGGCAGTTACAAGTACCCTGTCAGGAGCCTAGTACAACTGAAACTATCCCACTTAGCACTACCCATGAACCTTCAAGTGGTCTCGGGCTCCTGCGTCTGATCTAGCCCAGCTCCTCATGCAAACATCAGGAGGTCCCAACAAAGAGTCTGTAGCGTTGCATATGCTGCTCCCATAAGCTTAAACTTCGTGGAATTCAAGGACAAGCTTCAAGTGGGGAGATGTTAAAGGGTTGAGGTGTCGGGACCTACAGGATTTGCAGCAGGTGTGTCCAAAGTCCAAGTACTTGGAAGCTCAGAGGATTTCATTATAGCAAATCGCGGAAACTTGCCATAAATCCATCAGGAACTTAGTTAAAATCTAAGGTTGGTGCAACCTTTCGTCCCACGACTCCTTCAATAATGTGATGGGTTAATATGATGGGTACGCAAGCGTCCGTTGACTTATCCTAGAGATTATACGCTGCAGCACCTCTGATCTTTGTAAAATCCTAATACCCAAAAGCAAGGGCAGCCATGGGCGCCTGGGACCATGACAAAGATGTTGACTGACATGTAGGACATTGAGCTGTATGGGACACAAGTGACGAACGCATGCTCAAGTACTACGCTGTGCAGACCTGGTCTGACTGGTAGGTGTTGCAAGCGGTTGTGCGAAGCTTTCGATCGCCTGAAGCTAGTAGAAAAGAGACCCAGTGCCCTGCACGGAGCACTGATTATCAGAAGTGTATGCGTATAGCCCCCTCCAGGTAGATCATTCTACATACCCCATATTAAATAAACCTATCTCGGGGACTATATTGTTAAGTGCTGTCCCAAGAGTTCCGCGCCCGGCCTCGTCCAAGCAACTTGCCAGGGAGTGGAAAGAGGCCACCAGGATCGTCTCCAGTCGTGCGCGAGGCTTGTTCTTCCTTTGCAACAACGGCTGCCACAATGGATAACTATAATAGGAGTTATCATGTAATTACACCCCCTTTAAGGACAGTCTGGGAGAGTGAATGAACCAATTCTTCCTCCAGTAGCAATCTCGCCTGTAGCAACAGTATTGGCAATCAATATGGGTAGTACTCGGTAACAAACATACTAAATACAAATGGTCTCCTTATTATGGTAACCCTAAATCCTAAACTCAGTACACCTTTCTTGTTGTAGCCATATAGCTGTAAGAAACCGGTGGGGATGGCAGTGCTGGTGGCGGCCATCCTGTCCCCCCCAACTGCCACCGCTGGCAGAGGACTCTTGCGTGAATTGCGGTTCTCACAGCTCACGATAGCAGCGCTCATCAGACTGGGATTACTGTTGGAAGATCAGGATATTGACAAATTGACTGGACAGTCAATCGACGCTTGCGAAAAAAAGAGTCATGAATCAGCATCTTCGTCCTTGCCCTCGTCATCAAAGCGGATTGCAACTCAAACATCGGTTGGCTGTGGTTGCTCCAAAACGCGAAAATCATCTGGCCAAGATTTGGATGTTCTCATGGTAAACCTTTTATAAGATCTCACGATCAGTAAGAAATCAAACTAAGGTCCGTAAACAACAAAAGCACCATGTCCAAACACACCGGCCGCGCAGTCACAATGATGCGCTATCTTGGCACCGGTCTTCTTGATAAATAACCACTTTAATGCCCAAATAACCATCTGAAAGCCCATGAGCTTTCACCCTGAATTGCAAAAAGTAAAGTTCCTGGGCAGCCTGTTTTCATGAGTACAACTGATGAGGAACTCTGGTTTTGATAGCCGGTCATATCCTCCTGTAGGTCCAATCTTGGCTCTGGCTGGACTGCCCTTTCATGCTGCATCCGAGCAGCTTCGTGCCGGAGGCCGTGGAAAGCAAAGATCTAGTGCCTGAGCATTTTTGGAGGTTCCTGGGTGCTTACATGGGATGACTGCGGAAGTTGCCTATCCATATCTGGAGCACTCGCACCCTACATATAACAGCATGAATATGAACCTCAAGACAGCGCACGCCCGGGCCAAGCCCACGCGACGCTCATGCAAACTACGTAAACATCATCAAACCTGGTTGTCCAACTGCAGAAAGACTAAGGCAAAACCTGAAGCTTTGCAACCACCAAAGATATTCCGCCCAAAGCCCTCGAAGCAGCCCGGTCGCTCGACATCCGGCTGATGACTGACTTCGGCGACGTGGCACCGCTGCCACGGGAAGTCCTGGGATGTATTTCTGCGCAAAGGTGGGAACATACATATATATATATACATATTTATATATACACACACGTAAATATTCATACGTATGTATGCATGCATGCATGCATGCATGCATGTATGGTGTCCCTTTAATGGGCTTATGGGCGTTATATCGGGATGGATGCAGATTCGTGTGGGGCTCTGCCAAGGTTCTGGTGGTTTGCCAACAAGATACCCAGTCGCCCCAGCAAAAACAACACGCTACCTTTTTGATGCACTTTGCGTCTGGGGCCACGACCCGTCGACTGTACCCTTACAAAGCCGAATTCGGCTACCCGTAGGAAGTAAACCTGCGAGATCCTAATCAGGCGGGACATTGAGAAAGTGCTCAAAGCATGGGATCCATCGCGTGCTCAGTTTTTGCCTAATTACGACATAATGAAGCCCTCGAATGGGATAAAACAGCTTCAAGCAGGATGAATACCTGAAAGTGGACGTGAGTGCACAGCGTGGATCCAAAGAACGCGCAAAGACTGCTCAAACCAAATGC